CTAAAAGACGCATGTCGAGTTTTTCTCGCACTGCTAGGCTCACAATATATCTAAATGTTATTTCATCAACAACTAGAGAGTATGTTTCATCAAAATCGACTCCAGGCCTTTGTGGGAATTCCTGAGCTACAAGACAGACTTTATATATCACAATTTCATTATGTTTATTTCTTTTTTCGTAAAAACACTCATTTGTATCCAAGTGATTTTATACAATCCGGTGTTTGAACAATTGCTCTGAAGACCTCCCTTTTGTTTAATGAGCAAACTCTGATTGAATCGCATTTTCCCATCATTTCTTTGCCGACATTCATGAACTGATTTTGGCTCTGGATCCTCATTTTCTTCCATTATATCAAGTGCAAAACTGTATGCGAAAACATTATTAATAATTGTCTCTTTACGGTTCCAACATTTTCTTGAAGTAACATAGTTGATTGAGTTTTCGATAATCTCATCGTGTTCTTCAAGATTGTGCTCTTCTAAATCAAGTATTTCATGGTTGACTTCCTCATTAGATTGAGGTTTATCAATGTCAATTATGATATTTTCATGATTATCATCATTCATTCCTCTTTTTTCTTTCGAAGATGTTTGTCTTTGGAACCGAGTAGTCTACTACATTGTTAAACAATTATTTTAGCCGTAGCATTAGTAGCTGATTCATTCCTCAATTATTAAGCATGTTGCTGATTCATTGGCACTTGCAATTTGTCCATCATAAACAATTATTTTAGCCGTAGCATTAGTAGCTTAGATATATGATCAAGTGACTTTGCTCGAATCATTGAAAGCATCTGATAACTGATTCGCAATATTTTGCAAATGTATAATGCGTTGAACTTCTAGTTCAAACTGCTTTGTACAATAATCACAAAAATTCAATGGGATTTTTCAATTAATATCCCTTTTCAGTTCATTTATGTCTCCTCCTAATGTCGGAAAATATGATTCGTCAAAATGACAATCTGCAAATCTTATAGTAAATAAATCACTCGTCATAGGTTCAAGATATTTTATAATTGACGGAGATTCATATCCGACATAAATGCTTAATCTATGTTAAGGACCCATTTTTGTACATTTGGGGGGTGGAATAGGAATATAAACAACACACCCAAACATACGTAGATGAGATATATTTGGTTCGTGACCAAATACTAATTGCATAGAGGAATAGCTATGATAGCTTGTCGGCCTCATTCTTATAAGGGTTCCTGCATGTAAGATTGCATGCCCCCAAGCTGAAACGGACAACATAGACCTCATCAGTAATGGTCTAGAAATCAATTGTAATCTTTTAATAAGTTATTCTGCCAGGCCATTTTGTGTATGAATATGAGCAACTGGGTGCTCTACATTAATTCCAATCAAAATACAATAATCATCAAATGCATTCGATGTATATTCACCAGTATTATCCAAACGTATAGTCTTAATTGGATTATCGAAAAATTTTGTCCGTAATTTAATAATTTAGGCAAGCAATCTCGCAAATGTCATATTGTGAGTAGATAGTAAACAAACATATGACCATCTAGTTGATGAATCAATAAACACCATAAAATATTTAAATGGCCAACATGATGGGTCTATTGGTCCACATATATCCCCCTGTATTTTTTTTTTCAGAAATATAGGTGATTCAATACCTACTTTAGCTGGCGATGGTCTGGTTATCAATTTTTCTTTAGTGCAGGCAACACAGGCTAATCAATTTGAGTTTAACACTATTTGACCTTTTAATAAATGGTCATGCGAATTCTTAATTATTCGCCTCATCATTAAACTGTCAGAATGCTCAAGGCGATCATGTCATATTTGAAAATCAATAATCTTTTTATCTACCGTGAGGTGTATTTCAACAACACCTAATCCGGCATAATTTAAACCAATAGAGATTGAGGGTAATATCTCAATGATGCATTTCCTTTTATCAATGATATTGGTGATCAATAAAAATTCACTATCGGCATCACTCATAATTTCAATATGATAACTATTTTTTCGAATATAATGAAAGCTCTGGAAATTTCTTCGAGCTTTAGTGACCAACAGTGCATACTGTATAACAATTTTCGTCCCCGCAGAGAGAAATATAATGGCTTCTCCAGAGCCTTCAATTAATTTTGTACTGCCACTTATTGTATTGACATTCATCTTTTCTCTTTTCAAATTAGAGAAATATTTTTCGTGTTTCAATATAGTATATGTCGTTGCACTATCAATGAAACACATATTTGCATCATTTTGATTGGCATCCATTTAACCTTCAAATATAAATAAACATAGTATTAATAAAAGCAAATATAAATATTACAAATGAATTACAAAAAGGTAATATGCGATAATTTAAATATTACAAAATATAAAATAGCATAATGTAAAATGACATAGTATGTTGTCACTGCAGGTTTACTGGATGTACGACAAAATCCTCTATATCAAGATGCGTTGTGTCGTAATCCAGAAGATCATCATCGGAGTCGTCATCATTATCAACGTGATTAATCTCGATTTTCTTCCTATTTTTCTGTGAGGCTTGATAAAGATTTGTTAGGTGTTTAGCTGTTCTGCAAGCATTGGCCCAATGACCTTCAATATCACACCGATTACAAATGCCGATTTGCATCTTTCCCTGTTTAGCCTTTTCGGCTACATCCCTATATTGAGGTTTACTCTACTTACTGTTAATGTCAAAACCTCTGTGATTGTAAGGAGTATATTGACCGCATTGACTCTCACGACCGCGACCACGTCCACGACCTCGTTCATAAAATATCACGTTCGCTTTAGGGAACGGACTGGAACAAGTGGGTCAGGATTGATGTTTTTCACCTTTTGCTCATCTAATAAAAGATGTACAATGAGCTGTGAGTATTTGAAAATTTTTCTCATGACACTGTTGCTGCAGCATAACATTAGAAGCATGAAAGGTAGAGAGAGTCTTTTCTAATTTATCATTCTCAGTAACAAGTTATCCGCAGAGTTTCAACTGAGATGTAATCTGATGAATAGCATAGTTGTACTCTGTAATAATTTTAAAATCCTGCAATCGTAGGTTAAGCCAATCATGTCGGGCTTTCGGAAGAGTGATATATTTTAAGTGCCCAAATTTCTCCCTTAATTCATTCCACAAATCAAGTGAATCTTTCAACGTCAAATATTCAGACGGTAGAGGAATGTCCAAATGGTGACGAATGAAAATAATAGTCTTAGCCCGATCTTGGCTTGCAGTCGTATTTTCACTGGAAATTGTATGAACAAGATCCATAGAAACCAAATGCATTATACATCCAGAGACCAAATCAGAAAATTATTGCCGTGAGAGATAAAGGTTTAAAAGAAAATTTCGCAAAATTTTCCATAGCGTAGAAAATAGATAATATAGATAGTATAAAAATAAAACTTACCAAAAATAAAATGGGCAAGAATTTTCGTGCTGATAACGTGTTATATAAATAATATAATACTCCCTTCGTCCTCCTCTAAAGGTCACATTTATCTTTTGTGTCATTATACTTAACATTAAAAATATTCTTATATTTGTATAATTTTTGTTATAAATATTCTATTAGTATTATAAGAAATCAATGGAAGTATTTTTTCAAGTTTTTTCTTAATTTGCACTATGTTTTGATATAATAATTAATATTCAAATATCAACAAGCAAAAAGTAAATAGGATCCTTAGAACCGGACTGATGTAGTATTATAATATATTGGTAACTATATAAATATATATGTATACGTCTATATATATTCTGCAATAATATTAATGTATGTATGTATAAGTGTATAGAAGAGAGCAAAGAGGGATTTTGGGAGAATATGAATGAACTTTTATTCATATAAACCATAAATATATATGCAACAGAAGAAATGAATGTAATGTTAGGAAAGTAACCAACAAAACAGGCACACTATCTGCGTCATTAAATTGTGTATAGTTTGTATACAACACTTTTAAAATTTTACAAAATATAACATACATATGATAAAGAAAAATTAAGAAATATATATAAAATATTATTATTTGTAATACTTTCATAATTTCATATTTTACAAGCAAAATCCTTAAAATTATAAATATTAAAATTATACAATCTCATACTTCCTTCGTCCCAAATCTATTTATCCATTTTGTTTATACACGGGAATTTAGGAATATTCGTATTATATTGGGATAAAGTAGAAATAAAGGTAAAAAGACTAAATTAACCCTATTAGTATTGTACGATATAAAGGTAATGGCATTTGTGTAATATATTGTAAATTAGAAGGGTATTTGTAATGTTAGGTAGATAGTACAATTACTAAAAAAAGAAACGGATACTTTGTTATCAGACGGACCAAAATGAAAAAATGGATAGATTGTTAAGGGACGAAGGGAGTATATTTTTACATTTATTTAAAAATTGCTACCTATTTCTTCATGTGAGTTTCAAATGTGTATGTATGGGTGGTGGTTAGGATGTTGCAATAAGCAAATTAATTTGATATAATTAGCAAATTAGTACACACGGATAGCAATAGCATATTGCCAAATTAATACATTAACTCTAGACAATTAGCAAATCCTCACAAGGAAAATAACATATGTTGTATTATATAATGTATTAAGTATTATATTAATATTTACTACTTTTTTTATATAGACATTAGTTTATTAGATCAAATTACTATTGTTTTAAAATCATAATATATTTGTTGAAATCATAATATATTATTTGCTACATATATAATTATATAATGTGCTATTAAAATATAAGCTATATATTACATCAGTATTTGCTATTATTCTTTGTGAATATTTGATAATTTAATTAAATCAATACTTGTTTATTTGACTTAATCATCACAGTAACCGAAGCTATATGAATCACAAAATTTTAATACCAAAACATTTTAACAATTATGCAATTATATATTTAATTAAAAAAAAATTAAATTTAATAATAATAATAAATTAATTAATTAATTACACGAAAGCCATGAATTTCTCGTATATATATTGAAGTTTTTTTAAAAAAAAAAAATTACAAAAATTAAGGTAACAATTCTTGTTCGTCGCTACAAAACTCCTTCCTTAACTTCTGCGAAAAGAGGCGGCAGGCGTCCATACTCAGGTCGACTGCCGCCGACAGCGCAATAAACAGCGCCGCATCTCCAATACAAGTCACGTGCTGCACGCCGACTTCCACCACCGGCTTGCTCGTCTTCCCTTCTCCTTCCACACTCGAACCCATCACGAACCCCCGCCGCCGATCGTACGGCACCACCACCCTCACCGCCGCCGCGCCTCTCCTCCGGCGCTCCTCGATGCAGAACTTACCGCCCTTCTTCACGCTCATCGTCCCTGCGGCGATCGGAACGCCGGTGCTGAGTCCGGCGTCTGTTATCAGCTCGAACTTGTACCCGACACCGTCGACCGGACCGCTCTCCCGCCACGCCTCAAGGCGGCCCCACGGCTTCCAGCTTCCGACCGACGCGCCGGCCGGGGATAGTATCAGCCACGCGCCAGGGTTGGATCGGGAGACGCGGTCGGAGCCTGGGGATGGGACGAAGGGAGTCACCATTGATGCGGCGGCCACCGCCGAGCCGGAGAGGTCGTACACGATTATCATCCAGCCTTTCCGGTCGAGCCCCGCCCGCTCCCGGTCGCCGGAAAGTGTCCGTGACCATGTCCGGTTCGCGGCGGCGATGAAATCTGAAGGAACAGATCTGAAATTTCATGTATAACAAATATTACAAAAAAATATATATATATGATCTAAATTCGTTGAAATTATTGAAAATTTTAATGATAATAAAATATTAAATACTCCATTCATCCACGAAATAACTATATATTTACTTTTGGGGTAGGTAAAAGTAGTGAAATAATATTTCTGCCTTTACTTTTTTAGTATAAAAGTAATGATGTGATGTAAAGTAGGAATAGAAGGAAGCATTAGATATAAAAAAAAAAAAAAAGAAGAAAGAAAGAAGTATTTAATAGTCCATAATATATTTTCTTATAACTATTATTTATTAGTAGTGATAAAAAAAATATTAGAAATGTGTATGTAAAGATAGAGCATTTTTTAGTGATGCACGTGGAGCTGGAGAAGGCCAACAAGGCATGTCATACAAAGCGAATAGGTATGTTCACGTAATAAAAAAATTTCGACATATTTTACTATTAATATTATAAAAATATAATACATATATATATTTATATAATTACTCTCTCTTTTTTGCATTAATGTATACATTTTATTTTCTAGTAATTGTAGATCTGCTATTTAATTCAATTATTTGTATTTTACTATCATATTATTATTTACGTTAAAAAAATAAGGGTAAAATAGACGTTAAATTATTTTTAATTATTCGTTGCAATTAAAATACTAGTATTATGTTTTAAACCCTGGGTCAAAAATAATTTTATACCTAACAACCAGAAGTATATAATACAGGGTTTGTTTACCCAACTAATTTTTTTCTTGACACAATTCCTAATATATAGTATAATATTTATATTTTATTCTTTCACAAAAATCAATAATTTAATTCAAAATAGTATTTTTTTTTATACCTCACGTAAAAGAAATTATCTCAAACTAAAACACTAATATTCTTATAATTCATACAAAAAAAATAATAATTAATAATTTAATATAAAATATTATTTTTATATTATCGACTGTGTTTTTTCATATATAATAAAAAAAAAAGTACAAATGAAATAAAAGTCACTGAAGTATGTGTAGTTGTTTTAAAATATATTTCACGATTTGTCCATAATTAATATAAAGTATTTCTCTAATATATTCTTACATATAATAATAATAATAATAATAATAATAATAATAATGATTATGTTATTTTTGTTATTAATAGTTGTACTTAATTTTATACCCCTACACCTTATAATTTTAATCGAATTGGCAAGTAAAAATTAAATTTGAACTAATTTAACGACTGATAAATTAGGTAAAATGCATTTTTAGCCCCAACATAGGTTAATCAATCTAAAAATTAGAGGGAGCATTCGGATTTTCGGATCTGACTTTTTCAAATTCAAACCAATTTAAAAATTCGAATCTCTTGAAAAAAAAAAAAAAAATCAATCTGAACCCAATTGAAATAATCAAAATTCGAATTAAACCGAAAAATGTAAACAATCCGAAAGAATATAATTGAACTAATTGTTATATAGTGACCCAATTTTAATGGGACTGGAATTATTTTTCCTGTTAAATTAATACTGTGAAACATCAAAATTGACTTAAATGTGAATAAAATAATATAAAATAAATAAAGTAGTTTACCCTGTTCCCAAAAGTCTTCCAAAATGCTTATTAAAATAGAAGGTTATGATTGGATGTACTGTAGTAAAAAATAAAATAAATTAACAAATAATATTAAAATTTTAACAATATGTATATAAACAAAATTTTACAAATATGTTACCAATAAAAAATAAAATAAAAAAGAATATATATGTTTTATTTTATTTTATTTTATTTATATATTATTATTATTATTATTATATGCATCAATTTGGGGTAGTGTAGGTGAAAAAAGAAAGGAAGGAAACAATAAGGACATGACAACTAAAAGTAATAAGAGCGATTGGGCAAGAGGACCCATGGCGCATTTTAGCAAGGACGAAAATCATTTTCTACAGCGCGCAATGGTGGGGGTGCTCATGTTAGTGGACTCACCGTGACCTGTGATTCCGGTCGGCGCTGAACTTGCAGCTAAAAACCGGCTGCCGTCTTTTCCCCTGAATCTGGAAAACCACCGGGCTGCACTCCGGTTCGCCGCCGAACTGGAACACGAACCGGGGGTCCGGTTCAGACCGGACGGTCAAATGCAGCTTCGCCGCCGGCTCTCCTCCGTCGAGCTTTACCCACCCGTTGTGATAAACGCATCCCCTCGCCTGAGCATCGCCGAGATTAACAAAGACCTGAACTCCGCCGAGGAGTTTTCCGGCAGCCGCGACGCCGCAGGCCCGGCCCACGCGGCCCGCGAAGACGGAGATTTTGATGGCGACGACTGGCCGGGCCGAGAGGCGGCGGAGGGCCTCCGGGCCGAGATGGAAAACCGCCGACGGCGGATCTCCGGTGGAGGAGAGAGGGAGGAGGGCCGTCGTCTGGGAAGGGAAGTCGTTGATTTTGAGCTTGGCGTAGCACGGTGGCCCGCCGGAGCCAGCGGCGGCGCCGGCGGAAGCGGCGGCGCCGGAGAGATTGACGGCGGCGATGAGACGGACGAAGGGGCAAGGATCCATTGGGGGAGTATGAAATTGAGCTTACGACACAAAATCTTAAGACTTATATTTATATATTTTATATATTTTTTATTTTCATCGAATCAGCGAATGAGTTGAGAATGTTGTCGGCTTCGACTGTTACTTGTTTTTGTCTATTTATAACGTATTTTTTAAGTTCGATTTTGTATTTTTATTAAAAAAATTTTTTAAATACTCATTTGTATATTACTCACGTGATTTTTTTTTTCTTTTTTTTTTATTTCATTATATATATTTTATTTTTAATAAATTTATTTATTTTATATATATCTAACGAATATAAATTAATTTAATTTAATTTTTAAATTTTTTATATTTAAGATCTACTTTGAATTTTTTTTATCTTTTTTTAATACTATATTCGTCTCATAACAAAATATCCATTTTCCTTTTTAGTAACTGTAATATCCACCTAATATTACAAATACCCTTACAACTTACAATATATTACACAAATGTCATTACGTTTATATCACACCATACTAATAAGGTTATTTTAATTGTTTCAACTTTATTCCTACTATAATATAATACTAATATTTCTAAAACTCCGTGCAAAAAGCAAACGGATACATAATTATGGGACGAAGGGAGTAATAAATATTTACACCTATATTTAAAATTTTTTATTTTTTATAAAATTAATTTAAGTTTATTATAAATAAATATTTTTATTTATATATTAGTATAAAGTTTTACTATCTCTATTAAATGATATCCTTATTATATGTATATTTTATTGAGATATAATATTAAAAATATTTAAATAGATATTTAAAACTTCTTTTAATCATATTCTATATCATTTCCAAAAGAAAAGTACCATAAATTTTTTGTGTATAAATTTGTTAACATTTTATTATATTAATGCGTAGTTAAAATTAAGAGAACATAGCAAAAATACCTCTATTAGTATTTTATAGTAAAAATACAATAATATTTGTGGAATAAATTATATAAATATAAAAATATTTTTAATGTTAAATACAATAATACAAAAATTAAATGATACACTTCTTACGAGACAAAGTTGTATATGAATTTATTTTTTTTAAAATATCACAACACTGCTCATATAAAAAATAAAAAATAATATCATAAAATATTATTAAAAATTTACTAATTTATAGTACTACCTACTAACTGTGCGCCGAACAAATAAATATATATTTGGGAACGGAGGGAGTACATTTTATTGACTATATACTTTTTGCATTTTTTTTTGTTTGATTGTTATTGATAAAAAAATTTTATCGTATTTAATATTCATTTCAATTTATTAATTTATATAAAAATAATAATTTTTTTCTTTTAAACTCGTTATGTCATATTATTCGAACTAAAAAAATTAAAAATAATAATATTTTAATATAAAAATAATGTTGATAAAAAATAAAGTAGAAAATTTTTAGTAGATTAAAAAACAAATATACCCTCGTCTCACTCAAATGCATATTTTTGAAATTTTATAATAAATTAAAAAATAATATTTTCTGTATTCATTAGTAAACTTCATATTTTACAATTTTAGTATGTCCAAATAAAAAATTCTTATTTTTTTCTTGTTTCTAGTAAAAGTAATTTTCAACTAATATCAAAATACTATACTTTTTCTTTTCACATTATTTAACACAATACATTCCAACGACTTAAAAATATATATATATATATATATATTAGGACGTGTTCTTTCATATGCATATTTTTAAAATATTTGTTTACGTAAAACTAATTATTAATTATTTTATTTTAAATTAAGAAGAAAAAATTATTGACATCTTATACTAATAATATTGGTAAAATAGATATAGATAGATATAACGAAGATCTTTATTACATATCGCGAGAAAAATGGCGATAAATTGGTTGGTTGAGATGGTCCCAAAAACAGCTAGACTAGGCTGTCACTATTCACCAACCCAAATTTCCATTGGCATATACTCCCTCCCTCTTCAATTTATCTATTCATTTGTTTTTTACACGTAATTTTAAAAATATTAATATTATATTGGGATAAAATAAAAATAAAGGTAAAAAGACTAAATTAATTCTATTAGTATTGTATGATATAAAGGTAATGGCATTTGTGTAATATATTGTAAATTAGAAGGGTATTTGTAATATTAGGTAGATAGTACAATTACTAAAAAAAAGAAACGGATACTTTGTTATGGGACGGACCAAAATAGAAAAATAGATAGATTGTTAAGGGACGGAGGGAGTACACAAGATTTAAGTAATATTGATATTATATTAATAGTTGGTAAAAAATATAAATAAAATTTTTTTTGCCCTTATGAGTGCATTAGTGTAAAATGTAATGACATTTGTGTAATAATAATGAATAATTTGATGGTGAGATGAATATTTATGAAAATAGACTATTTTTTTTTTGGAACAAATAAAAATAATAAGCAAAACTATTGTATTGAAACGGAAAGAGTACTACAAATATGAATTATCCGAATACATTTATATAAATTTATTTTTGACATTGCTGTATCATTAATATGGTTCTCTTTACGTGTGTGCTATTAATTTTAATTTTTTTTTCTCCACTAATTATCAATAATAGCTATGTGTACTCGCAACATTTTACCGTGATTTTTCTGTTTCAATTTTTTTTCCTCTAAAATTATCAAATTAAATGCTTAATTTTTATTTATTTTATTACATTAAAATATAATTTTATATTCAAAATATCACATCAATACATATTTATATCACATCAAACACTTACTCCCTCCGTCCCAGAACTATAGTCTTGATTGTATTGGACACGAGATTTAAAGAATATTGAGATTATATTGATAGTGTGTAAAAGAATTTTTTACTATTGTGAGTGTATTAGTATAAAAAGTAGTGACGTTTGTGTAATATTAATGAAAAAATCATGGTACTTTTATAGTGATACAGTTAATTATTGAAATAAAACTATTATTTTGGGACGAACAAAAATAGTAAATATGACTATTGTATTGAGACAAATGGAGTATTTCAATTCAAAATTTTACTATTCAAAATCAAAACTCAAAACAAAAACCTCACAAATATACTCTCTTTATTTTTTATCGGTTAATGAAATGAGACTAAAATTAGCAAAAGCAAGAGTATTTTTTAAAAAAATTTAACATTATTTATTAATATTAAAATTTTATGTATAATATTAAATGTGTATTTTTATAGAAATTGAATATTCAATTTGTTTACTATTTTAAAAAATTAAAAATTTTAAATATCTAAACTTCGATCTAAATATTTCTTTTAAAAAAAAAATTAATTTGTTTGATTATGGTTGGAGATTGATGTGGAATGAAATAATTGATTTGAATATTTGTTTAAATAATATTTTATTTTAATTTTTGTGAAAAATTAAAGGATTCTTTTTATTTAAGTTCAAAATTGTAATTAAATAAATCTGATTTTGATTCTTTGCAAGATGTTTTTATTTTAATTTTAAATTAAAATTATTATAATTCAATCTATATCATTTTTAATAAAAATATATTTATTTATTTTTAAAATATTATATTAAAAGATTATTTAAATTTAAATTATATATATATATATATTGATTAATAGCGTCATGAGTTATATTGTTTATAGAGAAGTTTTTTGAGGTTTATGAAAATTTGAAAGTTTGAAAAAAAAATAAAAAGTTAGTATTTAATTTAATATTTTGTGAAAGAAAATATATATTTGATGTGGTCTTCTTTTAAAAATAAATAATATTAAATGAGTGAAAATGTGTTATGAAAATAAAGCATAATTTGACGTGGTTTGGATTTATTAATTATTACTTTTAAAGTTACTAAGATATGGTGTTTTTTTAAAATAAATAAATAAATATGTGTTATATTTTATTAGAAAAATATTGTATATTTATACGAAATTGTAAATATTATATTAATTTTTTTGGTTTTTTTTTTCTTTTTTTCTTTTACAATTTTCAAGCTTTGTTTACTTAACAATTTTTCACTCATTTAATACTATTTATTTTTAAAAAAAATATCACATCAAATATATTTTTTCTCACAAAATATCAAATCAAATACCAATCTTTTTTCTTTTTCCAAACTTTCAAAATTTCAAAACTTTTCAAAAACCTTTGTCTAAGCGGATATATTTCTTATTGGGCAAATTATTTATTTATTTATTTTTATTTGATACTCTCACTTATCATTTTAGTTTCATAACTAGAGAGTTTATCTTGAAATAGTTCTCCGTAAATAGAAAATTTTCGTACATTTGATCATAAGACACCGAAAATATCTGCATGGCATCCGCGTGGCACGCTGGATGACACGTGCCCGTCTAGTAAGCCTCACCTAATGGACGCATGGAAAATTTATTTATTTATTTTTTGTAAATTGATGTATTTAAAAAATATATAAAATACAAAATATAAAAAATAATACTCTTTATGTCCTTTTTGAAAAGAGTCATTTGGGGTTTTTGCAGTAGATTAAGAGATAATAGTATTTTATTGGTAAGTGGAAGTATGTAAGACATTTGTCATTTAAATTTTTGTATAAAGTAATTATATATGTGATGGTATGTTTGTAATTTAGATAAGAGTTAAGGATATTTTGGTACTATTGTATAATTACTTTTACTTAAAAAAATAGTATTTTTTAGTAAGATGGACGAAAATAGTAAAAATAGATTTTGAATTAGAACGAAAAGAGTATATATTAATAAATATATTTTCCAAAATTTATGTCTTTTAGAAAAAAATAAAAAATAAATAAAAAAATTTCATGTGTCCGCTATATAGCATTTACATGGTAGACACATGTCGTCTGACGTGCAACGCATGTATCTCTTTCGTCGGAGAACCATATGTGCGAAAATTTTTCACTTATATGACTTTCAAAACAAGCTCCGATTACAGAACTAAAATGATAAAGAAGATTAATTATAAGACTACAAAAATAGTTTACCCTTTATTATCTTACGTGTGTTTATTTAGTGAGATTGAATAGATATTTTTTTTATGTGATGTATAGAGAATTGTGTAAGTAATACTCCCTCCGTCCTGTATCTATATATCAATTTACAATTTAC